CCGGTTTTTGTTCGTTCGGTTGATGATTAAATCTTTTTTGGCCGTCAGAATATCGCAGACATCGTTCATAGCCAAATGTGGCAAATTAAACAATTGAACTTTTTGTTGTTTTAATTTTCCATATTGGGAAAAAATGGGTCAAAATTGCAGATCTAAGAAACATTTTTTCTGGGTATTCATTGGAGACAAAAGAAGGCCTTGAGTATTGGGACTTTGGTATACTATACAATGCGAGCTCTCACACAGAGGCTCAAAACATATACATTTTCACCATCCAAAACATGGAATTGTTGGGTCATCTGTCGTACAGTCCTAACATGGCATCCAATGACTTCATTCTATAAACTCACATCAAGAAAATAATGCGTTGCCAACGTTGCTTGGACGCCAGAAGATGCTTTTGAAGCTTTCAAAAACTATTCTTCGGAGGTGCCTCAATCGGAGTGATTTAACTGAATTGAGCTCATGAAATAGTCGATAAATTATGCTAAATCGTAAGGTTGAAAATAAGATCCTCTGATCTGCTATATAAGAAGATTCCTTGTTCTTCCATTGAATAAGTCTCTCTCGATCCAATGATATTTTTATAAAAGAAACCCGTTCGTTTTCTGTGAAGAACCCTTTGATCTTCTGTAGATGAAGACTCTTTAGTTTCCTACAGAAAAATACTTTCTGATCTGCCTTTTAATAAGACTTCCTTGTCGTCAATAGTACAAAATGGGCCCATCTGGACCCATTGTTTTTCTATGCAAGGAAATCCCTGGGTGTGAGCGCATAGAAAATGTATAAATCAGGCTAGGACAGATTTTGAAATTATTATTGAAAATTATTATGAAAATTAGGCCTTCTTATCGTTTATATAAAATAACCCTTGGTCTTCCAGGGAATGAAGTTTCACTGTTTTTTTTTTTTTTGTAGAATAATACCCTTTTTCTTCTCTAGCCTTTGATTTCCTATTTAATAAAACATCCCTGTCTTCTAGAGAAAAAGTAACTCTGGACCCAACGTTCTTCTATAGAAGAATGCACATTGGTTCTTTATGGAAGAATACCCTTTGGATTTCCTTAGATGTGGATCCAATGATCAAAAGACGCTCTGGTCTTTCATTAAAGGTGAATATCTCGATTTATATGGAAGAATACCATCTGGCTTCTAAGCGGAGCACCCTCTGTACTTTTACAGAAGAACACCACCCTTCTATATAAAAAGGACTTTGGGTCATCTATAGAATATCTTTTGGGTTCTTTTTAAATTTCTAAAAACGAAAATTTTCTTGATTTCTGTAGGAGAAGACTCTTTGAGATTAATCGAGAAATAGAACCTCAGGACTACCTTAGAAGCGGACACTCTAGCTTTCTTTCGAAAACATCCTTATTTTACAATATAATCTAGAGTGTCCTTAAGGGGACCCCATTGTCGGTGTCAAAATTTTTTTTATCTAATTTGAATCTACTCTAATTTTAGAATATTCATACAAAATTTCAATTGAAAATCTCAAGAACTCTTGAAGATATAGCCAATTTATTGTGTCAGCATCAAGTGACGGCTGAAGGACTTCTCAAACTTTTTCGAAGCAGTGGTTTACGTATGGCGGGCACGATAACTCAAAAACTAATAATCCAATCGGTTCCAAATGATGACACGTTTCTCTGGAAGTGTATGGCTCTCATATGAACTAGGATAAAGCCAATCGGGGACGGTCTTCCTTATTTTTTAACTTAGTTTGTGGTCAAAAATAGGCGATTTTTCAAAAAAAAAAAAAAAAAAAAAATCAAAGTTCCGCCATTTTGTCAATTGTTGTGCGAAGTCTCAATAATCCTAGTTCATACGAGAGTCTGACATGTACTCTTTCTAACACAGTTGGAATTTCCGGATTCCGATGTTCCAGTGAGGAGTTAACATGCCCATTCAAATATATATATGCAAAGTTGTGTTCTATTAATAGATGTAGCTCTGGTCGCCTAAAGAAACCAACCCTATACTCTGCTACAGAAGATTATTTGTTTTGTTAAAAAGAAGGACTAAAAAGTGCTGAAAAACGAACATTTCTGGACATCTGAAGAGGACTCTATGGTTTTTGAGGAGCATACACTCTGGTCTTTTTAGAAGCAAAAATAATCCTAAGGGGCCTCTATAAAAGGCTGGATGTTCGGTTCCGTTATGACACAAGAGGGGCGCCACAACCCTCTGGCCCTCTAATGAAGTTGACCATACTCGTATAGTCTTCCCTAGAAGACCCCTTGGATAGTTTATAATGGTGGTATTCTATGGAAGAAGACACTCTGGTCCTCCAATGAAGACTATCCTTTAGTCACCTACAGAAGACCTTCTGGGTAACTTGGGCTAATAAATTTTTGTTTTCTATAGAAGATGACACTCTGGTCCTCGAATGAAGCCGATGCCTTATTTTTCTGATCCTTTGGGTACTTTAAAAAGAGGGGATAATGGACTTGAGACCTTCCATAGAAGATAACACTCTGGTTTATTCGCGAAGTTTTCTGTGTTTCTATAGAAGACTTGTTGCTTTTGATCGAGAAACAGTCTCGCTGGTCTATCGTAGAAGCATACACTCTGGTCTTTCGAAAAAAAACGCTCCTCTTTTAATAGAATCCACAGGGTCCTTATTAGAAGACCTTCTGGTCTCCTAAAGAAACCGACCTCTTGGAATTTTTAATTGAATGACTCTTATTGTTCTCTGAAAATACCTTGTGGTCATTCATGATTTTCATGTTTTTAAATAATAATTCTCTTCTTCCTTTATAAATATTAATTTGATATGATTTTATTTAAAAATATACAAATAATAATACTTATTTTTAATTCTCATTACAGATGTGACACACATTTTCAAATGAACAATAATAAAATAACTGACCTGGGTAAATGTGTTACAAACGATTCTACATATTAATGAACAGATTTTACATCGTATGGAAGCAGAATAAAAAAATCGATAGCAACACCTAAGAAATTATATAAATAATATATATAAAAACAACAATAACAACACCCTATGTACGTGAGGCGCAAAACGTGTTTGCTAAATAACAACAAATCAAGAGAATCGTCAACAAAAATTATTTTTAAAAATCTATCTCAAAAGCAAGAGAATTCTTAATTATCTACGCTCCGAGAAGACAAAACGAAATAATGAACTCTTCACATTTAATTAGCAATCCTCAACTGGGTAATCATCATCCTCATCATCACCACCAGCAACAACATCATCATTATCTTCACAACCACACACAACAACAACAGCAGCAGCAACCGCAACCGCAACAACAATCATACACCTCAAAAATGCCGGCGACCACAAACAACAACATCAACAACCAAATTTCCCATAATTACAACAATAATAATCATGAACAACAGCAGCACCATACCGGTCTCGTGAATTCTCGTGGAAATACACAAACATCAAACACCACCACCAATCAAACATGTATGACGACACAACAGCAAACAATGAGTTCGAGTTCGAACCCCACAAGCGGCAGTCCAACCACAAACACAACCACCACACAGGCCACACAACAAAATAATAAATTTGCGCCTGCACGTAGGCTAGCTGCCCGTCATACTTTACGTTTGGCCATACCCAAACAACAGGGTGACCTGTCGTATGCAAATAACACGGTTGGTGGTGGTGGCATTTCACAATTTCGTCATTCGTCACCATCGCAACTGCCACCGGCTCCCATATTGAAACGTAACACAACGGGAGCCAGCACCACACCACAAGTAATGTCACATGTGCCGTCTCCTGCCTCTGTCTCCTCAAATACATATTCTCAAATACCCAAGTCTGCTTCACCACTGGAATCAAATAATTTGCCTAATGCCAATAGCTGCACTGTGAGCACGGCCACACCTTCCACAGCCAATAGTGGGCAATTTTTACGAGTACGAAATCCCAGTATAACTTTGAATTCAACGGATTTATGCAACACCAACAACAACGATTTCTTTGCATTTGCCAAGGATATGTCGTCGCCAGCTGTAGGAGGTAAGTTTTGAAAAAAAAATAAATAAATTCATATTCCACATTTTTATATCCTTGGCCATATGGCTAAAGAGGTATCATCGAAATATCGGTTTTAGTTTACTTGGACCCCAAATGCTTTTACCACAATTTGGTGTCGATTTCAAATAATATCCGACCACCTGCCCGTCGGTCTAATTGTTGCACACAATAGCTCTGGAAGAGGGTAACCGATTTCATCTGAACTTAGCATGTCGTAATATTTCTTGGCGGGCACGGTAACTCTAAATCGGTTCTAAATTTTAATACGTTATTCTGGACCTATGTACATAGCTTTCGTACGAACTAAGATAAATCCAATCGGCGAAGATCTTTCCTATTTTCTAGCTTGGTTTTTGATCGAAAATAGCTGATTGTACAAAAAATAATTTTCAGTCATTTTGCTAATTTCCGAGCGAAGTCAATAATAATAGATACATAGTTTTTCTAATTTAAATTCTGCACAAATCATGTTCGAAAATGAAAAATATTGGTTGACTTCTTTTGTACCTCCCCCCACAAGACATTTAATTATTATTTTGTTAGTTGTTTTCCTTAAGTCCCCGATCAACACCTAAATTTAGTTTCAATATTTCTTTCTTTCTTGTAGACCATTCACCAATATTTGCAGAAATCGCCTCATCCATGTCACCATCGACCAGCTCGGCATCGCCATCAAACCATTTGAATCGCCTCTTCAATTTGAGCCCGTCAACATTGCGCAGCTATGGAAATGTAAGTAAAATATTGTTGGTATTTAGCTATTAAATTAGCTCGGATTACGGTTTAATCTAGATTAAATATCGTCTTCAAGCGAAATAAACACTCTGGTCCACCTTAGAAACGGACAATTTGTTTTTATTAAAAGAAAAAACACCCTAGTCTCTCAAAGAAGACCACCTCTTATTCTTATATACACCTTATTTAATTGTTTTATATTAGAAGGCCCTCTGGTGTCCTATAGAAACCGACCCTTTGATTTTCTATAGAAGATATTTTTTAAAAAAGGGATGAAAAAGAGCTGTTTTAGAAGAAGGCGTTATGTTTTTTTAAGAAGTATACTCTCTAGTCTTCCTTAAAAGCAAACAAAATCTAAAGGAACATCTATAGAAGACTTAAGGCTTCTTTCTTTATGACACTGGAGGGCTGTCTTCTAATGAAGTCGACCCTTTAGTCTTCTACAGAAGACCCTCTTAAAAAAGGGGGCCAATAGAAACTGATTCTCTAGTCTTTTTTGAAGCTATCTTTCGAAATAAAATCTCTTTGGTATTCTTTGGAAAAGATCCTCTAGTCTCTCAAGAGAAGAACACCTCATCTTTTTCTATAAATATCTGGTCTTACGTTGTGGCACCCAAAGGGTCCTCTAATAAGGGGGCTGGCTTAAGTGGGGCTCGGATTAAGGCTTAATTCGTATTAAAATTTATTGACCCTCAATAAAAAGACATTGGATCTCATGCATAAAAACGAGCAAAAGCGATGAGTTGAGTCAAGTAAGCAATTGCTCGTAAGTTGAGTTAGATCGAACAGCAACTGCTTTTGCTCAATTTCGTATGCATAAAAATGAGTTCAAACCAATTGCAAATACTTGAGCAAATTGAGATCAAACTTCTAATTGTTATTAAAATGCAAACATGTCGTCAAGTGGAAGTGAATTAGAAGTAGTAGTAAACACTAATAATAAAATAAAAACTGACGGCATATCTGCATTTTTAGTACAACAAAAATTAAAGAAAATAAATATTTACTTGGAAAAAGTCAGTTGCCAAGTGTCAACGAAATGAAGCAAACATTTGGAATAGAAATAAAGGATTATATTATTATTATTAGGGTTTATATTATTATAATCCGCACCATAAGGCGGAGTGCATATACGCCATATATGCACTCCGCATATATGTATTTTCCGTGATCAAAATCAATTATATCCATACCCTGTTGAAACCCGAATATTTGCAAATACTTGGCTAATATTCCTCAATTTTTCATTCCGTTTATAACATCTCGAAATATTCCACTGAGACCCCATAAAATATATACACTGGTGGCCAAAACTAAAGAAAGTTTTTTAAGAATATAAACGTGACATTCATTTCGAAATAAAAATAAATTCTATGGAAAACTACATTGACCCAATTTTGATTTTTTTTCTTTTTTTATAAATAAGCAAATTTAGCTAATAATCGACAGCAAAACCGTTATTTTTGATTACACCTACGAGACATTGAACCTATACGATCCAAATTTTGATCTTTTGATGCATTATTCCTCACATCCTGAGCCTTTGGGAAGAGGTTATGTTTGTTAGTGAATCCCTTTGAATTTTGCTATCGATGATGATCCAAACATTTTTCTATAGGGTGAAGATCTGATGATTGTGTTGGCCATCATAAAATCCGGATTTTAGACTCCCGCAAACAATCGTTGACATGTTTTGGTTTATGTTTGGGGGTTATTGTCAAGCTTCAACACAAAATATTCATTAAATGTTTTTCCAAAATAATTTTCTGTGATAAATTATGTTCACAATCACTGATAATTATTCCTTTTAGTGTACGCGAGTCAACTAAGAGGCATGCTCAACAAAAGTTAAGCAAGAGCTCACAAAAGTAAGCAAAAGCTTGTTTTTATGCATATGAAAATGAGAACAATCTCATCCAACATCAATTTCTAAGTTCAAACTGAGCAAGAAGAGATCAAACCTGGGCAGTGAGTAAAAGCAAATACATCAAATTTTATTATGCATACGACAAGCACCTTTTACTCAAAAAATCGAGTCCGAGCTCAAGCTCAAGTTTTATACATGAGACCCATTGACTCCGGTTTAAGGTCCAATCCAGATTAATAGTCAGTAACCCCGTAAAAAAGGTAATTGACTTCGGATTAAATGAGATTGATCTTGGCTTATGCGTCATTTTATAGCCATATGTGATTAAACAACAATCCTATACGGTTCGAATGTTTGCCTACAAGCGAAAAAGGCTCTCTGGCCTACCTACCCTTTAATAGAATCCAAAGGGTCCATATTAGAAGATAATTTTTGGTCTCCTAAAGATACCATCATTTTAGTATTCTTTAGAAGACGATCCAGTTCTTTTAAAAAAGGTCGAAAAGAAGGACTGAAAAGGAACATTTCTGTGCCTCTATAGAAGAAGTATATTTTTTGAGAAAAAATACTCCTTTGTCTTCCTTAAATGCAAGACCAAACGACGCAAATATTATCCTTCAGGAGACGAAAAGAAGAAACCCCTTCTCCTAATAAAGCCGATTTCTACTATAATAAAATACACATTTTGGTAAGACACCCTATTGACATTCTCTCTCTCTTTTGACAAAAACAAATGTATTCTCCCAAACAATACCATTCATTAGTCGGGTGTGTTTTGTTTTGGTATCGTCCTTTGTCTCTCTTGGTGGTTCTTAGTTTTGCAACCGGCTGATTGTCTACCGTTTCTCTTGTTTACAACCGCGGTCTCTCCACACACTCGTTTTGGCTAGTTTTGCATTCCATTGTTTCTGTATTGATATTATAAAATTCGCATATGTATTTTCCAAACTATTTTGATATAACAAATAAGCGATGATATGAGCAACAAACTTAACCGACTAGCTGAGTCGATATAGATATGTGTCTCCGTCCGTACGTCTGTCCATTATAATTTGTAAACACGATACAGGCCACAGTTATGGACCAATCTTCACGAAATTTTGCATGTAGGATGGGTTCTGGCCAATGAAGACCCCTATTGATTTTGGAAAAGATCGGTTAATATTTAGGAGATGAAATGGACCAAAAACTTTATTTTTGTTGGTTTTTCTGGTCGCTCCAGAGACCGCAAATATGGCCCAAACACCGCGAATTTTTGCATGGAGAAGGGGATCGGGCCAAAGAATAAGCATGCCTGTTTTGATAAAGATCGGTCAATATTTAGCGGGTCAAATGGACCTTAACTTTTGTGTGAAAAATGACAAAATGTGTATTCTGTAACGTATATATTTACCACTGGAGGACATTGACCCGAGAAGTTGATAGTATATCCAAGAGGAATGGTTGACCTTTAAATTGATACCAATTATATTGTCGTAGGTACTGGAATGCGGGAGTTACACTTAAATATTTACAGGTGCTTACGTATTCATATATTATTTAGTAACCTATTACCACACTTAAGGGCGGAAATATAGCGCCGATCGCTTTGAAATGTTCCATGACGTTCCAGTTATGGTCAAGGACAACGCCTAAAATGTTAGGTGATGATCAGATAATAATGTTTCGGATGAAGTGGACCGAAAACTTTACTATTTGTACTTTTCGAGTCGAAAGCCGAACATCACAACACAACCCACGGTGAAGGGGATCCGGACAAGTAATTAGAGGGGCTGTACTGATTATAAGTAACATTTGCTGACTTCTAGCCAGTCAAAAGTGTGCAAATATCGCGAAATATTGCCCAATCTCAGAATATAGAACCACAGAAAGCTAGATTTTCATGGATGTTGTGTAGGGCATCGTATGGTCGGCCCCGTCCGACTATACTGCTCCGCTCACTGTTTTTTTACTGCGAAATGTAACCCTTCCTACGAGTATAAATCTGAAATTGTGATTGATCGATGCTTTACGAGAAATCTAACAGTACAGCCATCTGTAAAAAAATAATGGATTTATTTTTTCCCCAACCTAATATAAAATAAAAATAGATAAATTAAAACGACAAATAGTTTCTGTGTCATAGAAAACTGCCTCCACATAACTCCAAAGTTGCCTCTCTCTCTCTCTCTCTCTCCCTTTTTGACAAGAAACCAGTATTTAAAGTTTTATGAAGTGCATTCATAAAATGCAGAAATCCGAGCGTTGCCAACACTTTCCGAGGACTATTCATATAATATTTCCTCTCAGATATATACTGAGGTATACCATTTCTAATATAGCTGCAATATAGTGGTGTCAACCGGATTTCCATTCCATGGTTAAGGGTATTAATCCAAGTTCATGTTTTTACTTCAATTACTTTTATGAGTCTTCCTTCTTCTTTGATACTTTCATGACATATCAACAGAAATATTTTTATTTTTGTTGTATATTTCGAATACCCATTAGTCGTGATTCACCAGTTCTATTCAAAAACGGAGGTCATGACTTTTAAATGCTAGAATATTGACCCACGTTATTCCCCCTCATTCTGAAACACCCCTTTTTCTTAAAGTTATCGTTTGTTTATACATAGATTGGGTAAAGGAGGTTGTGGTGGAGAGGGAAAGGCGAAATTTATTGATTAAGAAACGAATACCATTGGGATTAAAACTATGAAAAAAATGCTAAAAAAAATCTTCGGCTTATAGACAAGTCAAAAAGAGAGAAGTTCTTATTTTTTATCCAGACAATATTTGCTTGTATCAAGCACAATACAGTTAACACCTTTTGCGGGTGAGGGGAGTAGCAGCGGCATACACGAATATCGTATAACATGCAAATTCCTAATGATCATTAAAACAGGGAGAAGGAAAACAAAAAACCAAATTCCTTTTTAACTGAAAATCAAAAGGAAGGCAAAAACAAATACAATGACCATTTTGACGGCAAATGGCTAGTTATGGACAATTTAACTCACCATATTTATAAAATATAACTTGACGACACTCCTTACCACAAACCATAACCCATTACTTTGTGGTGGAATCATTTCAAAACATTCCCCCTTGTCACTGGAATTTGTTAAGAAGTTTTTTTTTTCATAGTT